TTTCTTTCTTTCTTTCTTTCTTTCTTTCTTTCTTTCTTTTTCTTTCTCTTTCTTTTTTCTTTCCTTCCTTCACTTTCTTTCTCTTTCTTTCCTCTTCTCCTTCTCCTTCTTCCTCTTCTTTCCTTCTTCTTCTTTCTTTCTCCTCCTCCTCCACCTCTACCTCTCAAGAACACATGACAGATTGCAAGGATTAGTGATGGTTTGCAATTGTCAGAAAGAACCTAGAATCATGTATACTTGGGATTTGAATATTATGTGCTTTTGAATATTTCTGGGCCTCAGAGCTGCCTGAACTGAGCAAGTACACAATAACTGATGCATCTCAGATTAATCTCTTGCCATGTCTTTGTTTGTGTGTTTGTGTGTTTGTGTGTGTATATATACACACTCCCTGCAATCTCAAGGACAAACATTACATTTCTCCACATGACAGTATATTAGAAAATCAATGAACTCCAGAAGATGTTCCGAAGTGCCAGAAATTTTACAAGTAACCAGATCTATAAAGTCACTGTAATGAGACTCAACTCATAGTAAATATCCTACGAAGCCTTACACAATATATAATAATACCCCTATACATATTTTATATATAAATTCATATTGTCTTCTGCCCCGCAGAAGCTTATAATATTTCAGAATATTATTTTTATTACACTGAGCAGAAAGGCATATACATAATACATAATGCCTGCACATATTACGGAGAATACATAAACCTTGACAAACAAAAAAATGCAAAACGAATTACATTTATAGTGTCATGAATATTCTTTTCATGTACATCATACAAATATATACAATTTGAAGAAGAAATAGAGAAGCAGAGAGGGAAAACATATGCAAAATATCTTACAGTTTGGAAAAGTGACAGTAATTTACCCAAGTTGAAAAAAAAAACCCTGACTAAAGCAAAATCTCGGATTGGATTATATTCTGGTTCAGAGCTGGAAAACGTTAAATTAACATTAAAGATTGGAAACACGACTTTCATTAATCCATACCCTATTTTGCATTTGATGTATTTTAGTTCTCATAAAATTCTGGATATGTCACCACATAATTAATTACAAGTCCTTTGAACAAAAGGCCAGCAGAAATACACAAAAGCCTTATAAAGCTGATTAGTTGATATTTGTCTGCCTGTTCTGATCTTAAGAACCTAATATAATAGAGCATCCATTTACTAGGAAGTTAGTGTAATAGGTACAACTGAACTGAAAATTATGGAACTTTCACACATTACTTATAGAAGTGCATACTTAAAACATATTTAAAACGTGAATGCAAGAACGACATGGTGTAAAATCCATGTATTATACAGATACTTGCATAAGAAAACTAAGGTTAGCAATGACTCTCAATATACAATTGAGAAAACAGGAGTTTGTTTCTGTACAATAAACATTTGTGTGCTTTTAAAATCTGGATGTGATTGCAAACAGAAGTAAACACGCTGCTGAACAAAACACATCGCAGCTCTTTCAAACTGTAACACGGATGGGTTTTTTAAATTGCTTTCTTTTAAAAAATACAAGCCAATATCTGACAGTTCATTCAATGAGAAAGAATCCTCAGATTTAAATCTTGAAAAACGAAAGATGGAAAGTGCAAAGATTTGTGTCACATACATTTGCATCCTTTGGAAAGGATTGGCTGTGGATTACAGATAAAAATGTACTCTTATTTTTATAAAATTAGAATCAAAGATCAGAATGTTGGAGGTTGAAGAAATGCTAATTCTTAGTAAAGAATAAATTTTACTATGCTCCTTTCTTTAAGCCCTTCCCTCAATCTGGACCCTTAAAGTCAAATCAAGAAACATCAAACCAGGAGGAACTAATTTCTAAATTCTAAATAATTCTCATTTTAAAAAAAGATCAAAGTATTTTATGTTTTTGCTAGATTAAAATTATCCATGATGGCTTTTGTTGGGAAACATGAATATGAATTAAGGGTTTTAGCTTAGGACCAGCATTCACGATTTGCTGGAATTTTAAAGGGAACAGCAGATATTGATGGAATCACCATTTCTATGAGCTAATTTGAAATTTCTGTGCCCAATATTATGTAACAGGGTGATCAGCTCTTCAGAAAACTCTCTTCCATTCCTTGCTTTTCCTCCCACGCCAAATCCTAGGTCTGTACTCAAATTTAGAACTTCGTGGGGAAGACTGTCAAATAGGAAGGAGTGTAGGAACGGATGAGGGAATGAAGTGAACTAATAATATTTTACAGCCAAAAGGGTCAGAGATAGTGGCGGAATCATTTAGAAGGCAAAGTTGTTTAGAAAATTAACGAAAATTAACGTGGAGAAGAAGCAATAGCTGAACTTAAAAGAAATGAGGTGGAGTGTAATTGTAGGTCCGAAACAATAAGAGCAATAAGATTTGGCTTGAAGGCAACAATACACTTGGTCTCAAAAGAAATCCTTTAGATAAGCCTCACTAGATGTTTGTTGTTTTCACCCTACTTCCTAACAGTGATTCTTCATCCCTGTGTGTCATTGCATCAGCGAAGAAGGATATGGCTTTCAGAGTAAAAATGGCCTTGGACATAGAGAGGAGATAGACATTATTGGCTCATCACCCAACCCAAGTTGGTATACATTTATGGACTCCACGAGAAAAACTACATTCTCTTTGTTGGGATAACTTTCACTCTCACTATAGAATGGACTTTGTGAATTAATTGCTCAACCGGGTCACACATCCAGAAAGTGTTCAATAAAGGAATCCAAGCTCAATGAAACAATATACGAGATGACATTGTCCCTGACTTATGCACATGTTTTATGGCATCTTAAAGATGAGTTCAGAGCTGAGTGTAGGAAAGGGACAATTCTGCAAATTTCATGGGGTGTTTACGCCTAATTAACAAGCTCTCCTAACCAGCAGCCTAGAAGAAGAAGAAAAAAAAGCTGGGCTAAGTGTAGAAAATGTGCATTTATCCGGCCACCATGTTAGCAGATTTCGCTTTTCCTTTTCAAGTATATTCAGGAAATAAGTCACGGCGTTCGGCTTACCCCACGCAACGCAGCCAGAGGCAGAATGGGACAAGAAGAGCCACAAACATCTATTAAACTTGACTATTATCAAGTTAATATTTGATGGACGACCATTTTGTTTTTCCCAGAAAAGTCCAAGTTTTCTCAATGCAATTTCCCACTTTCCTTCAGTGTCCCTAGAACTGGCTTTTATCACCAACCCCTTGGTGGGGTTCTTCAGCTATGACCTGTATGTCATTAAGATCTTGTGTATCCATTTGGAGTAGTAAGCCACCTTGACGAAAATCCCGGGCCGTTTGGGAACTGCACATCCTCGTCCAGGGATAATCACTCCCACTACGATCTTGATTCTATTCTGTTCACAGACCAGTGGGCCACCGTAATCCCGCTAGAAAGAGAAAAACAAGACAAATTGCATTGATGCATTTATGGAAGAAAGATTAAGATAAGAAAAACTAATTGTAAAACAAGGAAGGACTCGCCCGTTGTATGTATAACAGTAGCATAAGAACACTTGATGGCAAATTAATCTTGATAATAGATTCTATTCTATTCTATTCCATATTTTCTATTCTATTCTATAATCTATTCTTATTCTTATTCTATTCTATTCTTATTCCATTCTCAATAGATTCTATTCCCATATTTTCTATTCTATTCTATTCTATTCTATTTTTTCTATTCTATTTTCTTTCTATTCTATTCTATATTCTTTCTATTCTATTCTATTCTTATTCTATTAATAGATTCTATTCTGTTCTATTCCATATTTTATATTTTATATTTTATATTTTATATTCTATTCTATTCTATTCTATTCTATTCCATATTTTATATTCTATTCTCTTCCATATTTTATATTCTATTCTATTCTATTTTCTTTCTATTCTATTATTATATTCTATTCTTATTCTATTCTCAATAGATTCTATTCTGTTCTATTCCATATTTTATATTCTATTTTCTATTCTATTCTATTCTATTCTATTCTATTCTATTCTATTCTTATTCTTATTCTATTATTCTTATTCTATTCTATTCTCAATAGATTCTATTCTATTCCATATTTTATATTTATTCTATTCTATTTTCTATTCCATTCCATTCCATTCCATTCCATCCCATCCCATCCCATCCCATCCCATTCCATCCCATCCCATCCCATCCTATCCTATTCTATTCTATTCTATTCTATGAGTTGTAGTGGCACAATGGTTAGAATAGAGTATTGCAGGCTACTTCTGCTGACTGCCAGTGATTTGGCAGTTTGAATCTTGCTAACTCAAGGTTGATTCAGCTTTTCATCCTTCTGAAGTCAGTAAAATGAGGACTCGGATTGTTGGGGACAATATGCTGACTTTGTAAACCGCTTAGAGAGGAGCTGTAAAGCAGAGTGAAGTGGTATATAAGTCTAAGTTCTATTGCTATTGTACCTCACAAGTTCCACTGCCGATGCTCTCTGCTCGAGCGCACATTTCGGATTCCTTCAGGACTATGTTCCCTCCAAAATCTTGAATGCAGCGTTCATTCCCCATCATGATCATATTTGCTTCCTGAAGTTGCCCATCAAAATTTCTTGCTGTAATTTTGAAGAGAAATAACTGTTCTTTACTCCATCTCATTGATTGATTGATTTGGGGCTATCAAATCATGGTCAACTCTTAGAGACCACAGAGAAAGAAATTAGCCATGATGATCTATCAATGTCCCAAAAGATAATACTTTCTCTTATGCACATCCTACTCCCATCCTTGACAAGGCAAGGCAAGGCAAAGCAGGTTCTATTGTCATTTTTGACTCTAAGCACACTGACCCACATTAAAAATGAAATTCTGTTTCCTGCTCTCAAAAGGAAGTATATATCTACCCATATACATACATTACAGACATATACACTTGCTACACACACCCACACACACCCCTTTACACATATTATGTCTCTCTCTGTGTGTATCATTGTCCATTTGAATACATAGCAGAAAGAGGGAATTTGAGAGTTCACAAGCTTGACTCTATAAGGAATGAAACTATGGCTGAATCTGGATGTTCTGCTTCAGATACCACAAATCCCCCTCCCAAAAGGTAACAAGGAAAAGAGGTCATGAAAAAGATGTGCAGCATCCCAGACAATCCTGTGGACTCTGCTCAAGCATCCCTTATATGCCATGCCTTGGATAGAAGGAAGTGAACTCCTAATAATATTTTCTGCTGTCCTCACCACTCTCTGCACCGCCTTCCTGTCTGAAGCAGTAATGCTTCCAAACTAGACAGTAATGCAATGTGACAGGATGCTCTCGATTGTCTCTCTACAGAAAGTGGTAAGTACAGGAGAAGGAAGGAAGATGTACTTTTATCATCATCATCATCATCATCATCCTCCCCCTTTTCATCTTTTAATGACCCCATAATCCCTTGCGGAGTCGAGTCTGGGCAACTGAATGGAGCTGAGTGTTTACTGGCCAGATTCCCTTCCTGTCACCAATATGGAGTTTTGTTCAGCAGATACATTCTCATTGTGCCCAGGGAGAGAAATATCTGCCTCCACTTAGGATCGAACTCACAGCCTCCTGATTATTAGGTGACAGCTTCACCTCTAGGCTACTGCACCACTCGAAATGTACTTTTCTCAAGTAAAAAAATTAAGTAAAAGAGGAAGTGATTAAGAAAATAATAGAATGTCCAGAAATGAGTAAATGGACATTAGAAATTAGAGAGCAAGAAGATTAAGAATATTATTAGATATGGGATTTATTTTATCAATGGCTAGATAAGAAAATAGAAAAAAGATACATTATAATATAAATATAACATAATAGTAAAGATAAGACAATGCAATGATGTTACAATTGATCACAATGAAATGAACGATATTATGAACTAGGCTTTGTAAAAGTTGAGATTTGCTTGAAAAGGATGACGTGAATTTGTAAACGTCTAATAATGATTTGATAATAATATAATATATTATGCATAGTTGATCTATATAATATGAATTTTAATTTAAACTCAGAAACTGTTGATATCTGCACAAAAGATATATACCAACCAATACACTATACAATGGAAAGATGGTTTTATTTGATGTTTTATGTTTGTATTTGTCAATGTTTGTTGTCAAAATTTAAAAAAAATTCTTAAAAAAGATATACTTTTCTCACATGACAGAGAAAATGCAGGTGCTGCTATGCCCACTTCACCAGTGTCGCAATGTTGAGCAACCAAGCCAACCTACCTTGTCACCTGCTGTACAAATGAACACATCATTTACCCTGGCCCAATCAAACCCAAAGTTAGTTCAAAGAACAATCGCACATATTTCATTGTGAAAGTCTTATGTGGTCAGAAGAAAAATCATTCTAGGCAGCTCTTGTAGATTCCAGACAAGGTCTTGATCTGATTTCTGGGTCCAACAAACAAACTAGGATCTGGAGGAAAGAGGGTCTGTCCCAAACTTGAATTACTTACTTCCTGTGTGTCCCCATCCATAAACACTGCACGTGATCCCATCTGGAATGGTGCAACCAGAAATGGGCAGACGGATAATAGCTACGGCGTTATTGCTTACTGCGGGTCTAAAGAAGAAGACATTTATGGGAATAAGTAGGTAAATGTAACATATCTTTTCAAATCAGATGAAGACATCAGATTTTTATGATGCATTGCATAGCCAGCCAGGTGGTAAGACTGGATTTGGCATTTTCATCCTCTAATCAAGTTCTTCCCAAGGACCTGGGATATGCAGATATGGATGTTACATGGTGTTACAAGGTATTGTTGCAGGATGTAAGATGTATATTTGCAAAGGGTAAACACCTTTCCTTCCAGTAGCTGGCCCTAGTTGCTCAACCAACAATTCAGAGCCCTACTGTGATAACCTGGGGCATGGCACAAAAGCAACAAAGTAACAGAAGTAGGTAAAAGTTGGGCCCCAGTGTCCAGTTATCATCGGCCGGAGAAAAAACTCTCCCAAGAACAGTTTTTAAAGGGAAGAAATTAAGTCTGAACCCAAAGTATATATAAATTATAAATAAAAATCAACACAAACCACGCAATTAATGAGACAGGACAGGATAAGGAATTGCAGACTTCAAAAGATAACAAAACACACAGAGATGGGAGGATGCCAGAACCCAGATAAGATTTGACAAGCAAAGATAATTCACACTTTCCTTCCAGCAAGGTGCTGTGTACAAACACCCTTTTTAAATCCTGTTTTCCCAGCTGCAGCTGATAAAGGGAATCAGGGCCCTTTTCTCCCCCATAAACCATGTTGCTCCCTTCTCCATTCCTCCCTGTGTGCCCTAGGATGAAGAGAGGGTAGGCCTGGGTCTTCCTCTGAATGCCCAGCCGGACTGTGCCCTTCCCCAGTTTCTTCCACAGCCACTGGAGCCACACTCCCCCTCCCTGTCAGTTGCTTGACCTCCCCCTCAGAATCAGATTCCACCAGGGGCATGACACCTACAGTCCATTGTTCACCAGATGTCCAGGATGGGGTCTATGACAATTCACCACAGCCAACTTGCTACAGCCAACTCAGTATGGCCATCTCACAAAGAGCCAATTTGCCATGGACAACTCACCGCAGGACGATTTGCTGCAGGACAAGTGTCACACTAATATCAAAGAAATGATGGAATAGAATCATTAAGGAAAGGAGGGACAAAATGAAATGGCAAAAATTAAAATATTGCTTTATTTATTTTAAATAATTAAATTGAATTGTTAAATTGTCCCATGGTGAGTTGTTCCATAGAGAGTTGGCCATGGCAAGTTGTCCCATAGCTAGTTGGCCATGGAGAGTTGGCTCAAGGCTGTGGTAAGTTGGCCATGGCAAGTTGGCTGTAGTGAGTTTGATGAAGCAAGTTGTCCCATTCTGGTCCAGGAATTCCAACATTTAGTGCAGTGCTTATTGATCTGAGTGACAACTGAGCAAGTATAGGTGGCGGTAATTTACATCTCATCATATTTTTTAAAGGAGAGGTGCTCTTTGTGGGATTCCTCTGATGAGACTTGTCCAGTATGATTGAACCTCTGACATTGTTCTCATCCTGTTCAGAGCACACAACCTCCCCAAGCACATCAATGTTTGCAGCAAAACTCCAAAAGGGATAATTATTAGACCCCAATGCAGGCCCATCCCTTCCAGGGACATTATTACATTAGGATGCCAAAGGTATCTATGGAGGAGGAGTATTCAAAAAAGCCAATCTTCCATTAACAGAATAACAGAGTTGGAAAGAGACCTTGGTCCAATCTTCTCAAGCAGGAAACCCTATTCCACTCCAGACAAGTAGCTGTCCAATCTCTTCTTAAAATCCTCCAGTGATGGAGCACCCACAACTTCTGAAGCTAAGCTATTCCACTGATTAATTGTTCTGTTAGAAAATTTCATCTTATTCCTAGGTTGCTTCTCTCCTTGATTAGTTTCATCCATTGCTTCTTGTCTTGACTTCAGGTGCTTTGGAGAATAGCTGGACTCCCTCTTCTTTGGGGCAGCCCCTCAGAAGCTATTATATCATCCATAGTCCTTCTTTCATCAAGCTAGACACGTCCAATTCCTGTAACCGTTCTTCATATGCTTTAGCCTCCAGTCTCCTAATCATCTTCATTGCTCTTCTCTGCACCCTTTCTGCGATGGTGAGTGACAATTTGACTTTTTGGACAGACCTGGACAACACTCCTTACGATTGAATGCAACTTAAAGCCTCCAGCAGCCTTCAGTAGCATGGTTTCACCCTTCCATTAAATCCAGCAAACAGAGAATTGCCTATGAAATATTAGCGTAACTTCAACCCACCTGGAAAGTTTCAGTAAAACTATATCCGATCCTTCAGGCCCGTAGACCAACTGGGAAATATTTAGAACTTGCTTATGCTTTTCTTCATGAGCTCTTTCCACATTATGAATACCAAGCCAAGCCTGATAGTCTTTGAGGTTATGCCTAAAGAAAGCAAACATAATTGGATTAGGGGTCAATAAAAAAATAAACCAGGATGGAAGATAGATTAGATAGGCTCCCCGCCATAGACTGCTCATTCTGTTTATTTGCTTTGTCGTGATCTATTTAGATAACCATTGCTCAATTTAAACAAAGGTAGCTTAAGCAGGGGTCAGTTCATTCCCCCCCCCCAAACAAAATAAATCACTGAAATCATAAGGCTGTTGCCATATTTTAGTCTCCCGAAGTGGAGACTGGAACTCTTCCAGCAGTTCACGCTGTGAAAATGGTGCCATCTGGACTAACCTCTTGGGTTTTCACTCTGAACAGGCGTTGAACTATAACAACACCAGTGCAAATAGTTTAAACCCTACCGTTATTGAATAAAAATGTGTCCAATTCCTAGATCGAGCTTCAACCAAGAAAAAGGAGACTTCTCTAGATATGGGTTCATCTAGAAAAGCAGGACATTTCCAAGAAAATTCACAAAAATGTGACCCTCACAAGACCCTCATATGATGTGACACATACACACACCTGACCCACACAAGACCCATCACTAGATTCTCAACTTAACTTGATGTGACCCTTCCATCACAAGACCTCCTGCCCACACGAAGCCCGTATCAGCAGAACACCGACACTGGCATCCCCTAAACTCCCCTGAAGATGTTACCTAGCCAGGTAATAAAATGTTCAGAAACCAACCCACAAGCTTGAAGAATGAACCTCCACTTTCGTCCTCCACCCAACTGCAGATATTCACCACCATCACAAACTAAAATAACGGTTCTCTACTCAAATGCTCTGAATAGTCCAGAGTTGCATTGCATTAGAACAGGGGTGTCAAACTCAATTGCATTGAGGGCCGCACCAGAGTTGTGTTTGATCTTGGAGGGGCCAGGTGGGCATGGCTGAGGTGGGCGTGGTTAACTCAGCATCACTTATCGAGGCTCCATTTTCAGCATGATGGCCTCCTGCAGCCCTCTGCCAGCATGCTGCCTGCCCGGGCTCTGTTTTCAGCTATGATGGCCTCCCCAGGCTCCATTTTCATTGGCAGAGGCTATAGGAGACCACCGCGGCCAAAAATGGGACTGGGGGGACCACAGGGGGCCTTCCCAAGTTCCATTTTCACTGGCAGAGGCACTGCGGGCCGGTCCTTCGCTGTTTCCAGGGTGCCCACATGGGCCTGTTCCAAGCAACTTGCGGGCCAGACTTGGCCCGCAGGCCTTGAATTTGACACCCCTTGTTCTGACCCAAACCCTTTTCCAATAAAACAAACATGAACCAAAGGGAACAGAAACCTTTTAATGATTCTTACAAATCCCTGGTTAAAAGGCTGCTGCAAACTAACTAACTTTGATAAGCACAAGCCTCACCAAAACTGTGCAAGGCTGCCAAGAATAACAGATAAATATTTCACAACACAAGAGTCTTCCAATACCAACTGTAATGTCCACAAGGCTGAGTTTCAAAATGTCTTTGCTTCCTGCAAAGAACGTCCAATTCACAGTTGGCTTTTATCTTCTTGAAGGAGGGGCCATTACCTTGCAGCCTTACTCCCCTTACTTCTTACTCGCCTTACTTCTCTTTCCTACAAGCAGCCCTGCATGCACGTGCACTTAGCACAGGCCCCTCGGGAACCTCCTCATCGCTGCTGCCAGCCCCCACAATCTCTGAAGGCAGCAGTCCACTCCCTAATGGTCCTGGTCCCTCATCTGAGTCCTCGTTCTCCTCAGCCATCCGCACCTGCTGCCAGCTAACCACAACACCCCTGTTATAGAAATTGGGAATAATTTAACCTTTATCCCTCCCTTCCCACTGCCTTTTGTGTGTGTGTGTGTGTGTGTGTGTGTGTGATGTCAGAAAAACCAACATTTCTACCCAGGGGCCAACTGTAAAAGGTGGGATCCTGCTAGAAGATCTTATAAAAAGTGAAATAGATACCGAGAGAGGAAGCACTGTTTGGCTGTTAGGACCCAATCTTCTTTCACCAGTGAACCACCACAGAAATGTCTGCCCCTGCTGGAGAAACCAAGGAACGAACAATTATTTGGGGGCCAATCTGCTTATATAAACTTTGCATTTATATGATGCAGTAGTCCTCGATTTACAACCATAATGGAAGCCAAAATTTCTGTTGCCAAGCGAGACGGTTAAGTGAATTTTCCCCCATTTTAAGACATTTCTTGCTGCAGTTGTTAAGTGAGTTGCAGTTGTTAAGTTACTGATGTGGTTGTTAAGTGAAACTGGCTTCCCCATTGACTTTGCTTGTCAGAAGGTCACAAAAGGAGATCACATGACTCCGGCACATTGCAACAGCCATCAATATGAGTCAGTTGCCAAGCATCTGGATTTGGATCCCTGGGGATGCTGCAATGGTCATAAGTGTGAAAAAATGGTCATTAGGTGACTTTTTCAGTGCCGTTATAACTTTGAATGGTCACTAAATGAACTGATATAAGTTGAGGATTACATTTTACTTTAGCCACTGATGGAAGCAGATTTTGCTTAGACATGTCTAGAGGAATGTAAACAATACATTGCTTATCTGACAGTCAACCAAGAGGACAATTGTAATGTCCAAAATTTTAAGGTGGCGTCGCTAATTCGGTTTCATGGACAGGAACTAGGCAATACCCAAGACAATAAGTTGAGAAAGGATTGCAATGGTCCACACACAGACCTGAGAAACAATCCTTGAATAGTTGTTCCTCAAGACTGAACAATTGGCTTCTCGAATAAAAATGTGAAGAATTTTAGTTGCAACACAATCAAAAACTGGCATTTCTAGACCTCAAAAAAAAAAAAAATCATCTGATGCATAATTTGTATTTTGGTTTTGATGACCATGGAGGGAATCAACCAGGGGTGGGATTTCACCGGTATAACAACCGGTTCGGTGATCGTGTGCTTCTAGTGCGCACACGCTTCCCGCACCAAACACACTAAACACATGCTCCGTCTGCACGCTCCATATTTTAAAAAGCTCTAATACTTACTGTCAACTAAAAAATACTCCTTTGGGTTTTTTAGTTGCCAGCAGAAAGGGAGTGAGGGAAAGCAATGCATTCCTTAAATGCCTCAGATAATCGCCTTGGCAGCCGAACCTGTTGGTGCGCAAAATTATTACTGGTTAACATGATTGATGACTCTTGGCTATGGATGTGTCTCATTGGAGAATGTACATCCAGAGGGTGGAGGGAAAACCAGGGTCAAGGGTGAAATGAATGATATGTCAGAGAAACAACATGATCGGAAAGAGTAAGGCTGGGCGAGCGGGCCAACATGCTCGTTGCAGCGAACCGGTTCACTGCCAGCTGATCTTCGGAGCAAGGGGTTCATCTGAACCAGTCCAAACCAGTTAGAATCCCACCCCTGGAATCAACATAGAGAAGAGAGCTATGCCTCGGTTCTCACCTGTCTTTCAAGCTGACCATCCATCCTTTATCAGGTTGTGTTGGGATCCCATTCACGACTCGTAGGTGCTTTGTCGAAGCACAAGGGATGATGGGAACTGGAATATTGATAATTGATTAGGGGGTTACGTAGAATCCCCAAATGAAAATTCACCACTTTATAGAACTATGTTCAAACTTCTAAAAGCTAATAAATAATCAAAGACATTTGGTTATATACCCTGCATATAACATATACATATATTATATATTCTGTAAGCCTTTAACCCAGGGGTCTTCAAACTTGACAGCTTTAAGACTTGTGGATTTCAACTCCCAGAATTCCTCCTCCAGTCAAGTTAGCTCAGGAATTCTGGGAGTTGAAGTCCACCAGTCTTAAACTTGCCAAATTTGAAGACCCTTGTTTTAACCATTCCAATGACTCCTGTATTAAATTGTCTAAATCAAAACTAAACCAAAGAAAAAGATAACCAACGATAATATACCTAATCTTGTTTAGAGTTTTCTCAATTACACTGGGTTCCATATCTTCTAGTTTATTGGACTAATGTAAAGGCCACTTAGGGTTAGATCCATAACCAAGCCCAGTCATAAAAAAATAACATATCATCATCATCATTATCAGCAGCAGCAACACATTGTAATGGCATTGTTAATTGAGTCATGATGTCATGATTTACTAAGTTTTTATCTGTGAGATATCCCAAATATGTTTTTTTTTCAAAAGGCAACTGGACTTTTTGTTTTTCCTTGAAGATGTTTCACTTCTCCAAGAAGCTTCTTCAGTTCTGACTGACGATGTGGACGATAAAAAGATTTATACTCCTTGAAGTCATCTGGTCATTAGTACTCTTTCTGAGAGTCATTGGGACAGACGGACGGACAGACAGACAGACACACACACACATAGAGAGAGGGGGGGAGCGGGGAGAAGGAGACAGACAGACAGATGATGGAGAGAAAGAATGAAAGAGAGAGAATGGCAGGTAGGTGGCGAGAGGGAGGGAGAGAGACAGACAGACAGAAGATGGATGGATGGATGGTTGAATAGATGAATGGATGGATGGATGGAATCTTCTTGGGACTGCTGAAAAGGACTGTCATCTAAAAGGAGATATGTGGTGTCATCTCTCTCTCCCTCTGTTGAGATAGAACTTTTGAATCTTAATGTAGATGGTCTCCTTGACCCCTCATTCAAACCAGCGATCCTCTCTGTCCAGAATGTGGACTTCCATCCTCCACCATCCAGCCAGAAGCTTCTTGGGTGAAAAATAAGGAAAGTCCAGTGGCCTCTCCAAAAAAAAAGCATCTTTGGGACAACCATGACCTGGATGACTTGAGAATCTCCATAGACATTTATCTATGAGATAATGTCATTGTTAAAAAGGTCATCATTCACCACCGCTCCCAGACAACCCCATCATGAAAGGTTCTGATTACTTACTGTCTAAACTGCTCATTATAGAAACTGGATCATTGTCACCTAAAAAGATAACACAATAGAATCACGTTGAGATAACTTCATTTAATAACAAGAAACATATCATGCAAATGAGAGCTCTCTACTGCCTTGTTCTGTGACAAACATTCGAGAATCCCTTCTTTCATCAACACAGGTAGTTCTTGACTTATGACCACAATTCAGCCCAACATTTCTGTTTTTAAGTGAGACATTGGTTAAGTGAGTTTTGCCCCATTTTACGACCTTTCTCGCCACACTGGTTAAGGGAATTATTGCAGTTGTTAAGTTAGTAACACAGTTGTTAAGTGGATCTAGCTTCCCCATCGACTCTGCTTGTTGGAAAAAGTTGCAAAAGGAGACCCCTGGGGATTGTCATAAATCTGAGTCATTTACCAAGCATCTGAATTTTGTCGACGCGACCATGGGGAAGTTGTAACGGCCATGTGTGGGGTAAAAAATGGCCATAAGCCACTTTTTTTTCAGTGCCATTGGTGACTAAATGAGGTGTTGTAAGTCAAGGACTGCCTGTCTTTGGACAAACATTTACTGAGAAGAACAATCTGATTTGGTTTTTTTTTGTATTTTTGTATTTTATTTGTCAATTGCTTACAAGATAATAGGTATAAGTAAAAACATAGTTCTGAATAAGAAAAATAAAAGAAACAATAGGACAGGGACGGTAGGCATGTTGGTGCACTTATGCATGCCCCCTACAGTCCTCTTAGGAAAGGGGTGAGGTCAACAGTAGAAAGTCTACGGTTAAAGTTTTTGGGGATTTGGGGAAGAAACCACAGAGTCAGATAGAGTATTCCAGACATTGACCACTCTGTTGCTGAAGTCGTATTTCCTGCAATCAAGTTTGGTGCGATTAACCTTGAGTTTGTATCTATTGTTTGCTCTTGTGTTATTATGGTTGAAGCTGAAGTATTCATTGACAGGTAGGACATTGCAATGCATGATTTTATATGCTATACTTAGATCGGACCAAAGGCAGCGTTGTTCTATGTTTTCTAGGTCTAGAGTTTCAAGTCTGGTGGCATAAGGTATTCTGCAATGAGTAGAGGACCGGAGAACTCTTCTTGCAGAATATTTCTGGACTTTCTCAACTGTGTTAATATCAGATACGTAATGTGGGTTCTTGACTGATGAGCTGTATTCGAGTGTTGGTCTAGCAAATGTTTTGTACGCTCTTGTTAGTAGTGTAATATTACCAGAGAAAAAGCTACGTAAGCTTAGGTTAACAACTCTTAATGCTTTTTTGGCTATGTAATTACAGTGGGCTCTAGCACTTAGATCATTAGAGATGAGTACTCCAGGGACCTTGACAGAGTTTGGATCATCAACAAGGTCTTAACTATTCAGCCTGTATTTTATTTTCTGATTTTTTTTTTTGCCAATATGTAAGCAGAGCATTTATTTGTTGAGATTTGAAGTTGCCATTTGTTTAGCCATTCTGATACATAGTCGAAGTCTTTTTGAAGGGTAGTAGTATTATCGGTGATGTTGAATAGCTTTACATCGTCAGCGAAGAGAACGCAGTTGCTCCTAATACAATTACAGAGGTCATTAATATAGAGTATGAAGAGAGTTGGCCCTAGAACACTGCCTTGGGGGACACCACTGTTGACAGGTACAGAATTTGATAGGACGCTCCCAATTTTGACTATTTGTTGTCTGTTTGACAGGAATGCTTCTATCCAGTTATGCAGGTGACCAGAGATACCATAAAATTTTAGGTTTTGGAGTAGTTTGTCATGTACCACTGAATCAAAGGCTTTACAGAAGTCTATGTAGATTGCATCTATTGCTTTGCCCTGATCAAGTTGTGTAGTCCATATGTTTTTGCAGTTTAAGAGTTGCAGATTGCAGGATAGTTGCTCAGTTGCTGATTGGGCAGAGAACCCATTGCTAAATTTTTTGAAGTCCACCCCTGGATATATGACAATGAGGTGTGGCCTAGTCAGCTTTCTGATCCTTCATCAGTGCCCAAACCATTTCGAATGACACTGTTGCAACTATTGCATCTCCGACTACTAGAAATCTCTTAAATAATCCCACAATACTTTAATTTCTCCTTTTCAGATTATCAAATTTAGATCCTTCCTACTATAATGTCAATCATGAAGATTTCCGGAGGAGTAACTATTGGCGCAGTGGTTAGAATGCAGTATTGCAGGCTAACTCTGCCCACAGCCAGCAGTTCAATCCTGACTAGCTCAAGGTTGACTTCACTCTTTCCAGGGTCAGTAAAATGAGGACCCAGATTGTTGGGGACAATAGGCTGACTCTGTAAATTGCTTAGAGAGAGCTGTAAAGCACTGTGAAGCAGTATATAAGTCTTAGTGCTATGGCTATCTCTGCCAAAGTGGCTCAGTTGTTAGAATGCAGTATTGCAGGCCACTTCTGTTGACTGCCAGCTCTCAGCAGTTTGATTCTCACTGGTTCAACGTTGACTCAGTCTTCCATCACTTTGAGGTTGGTAAAATGAGGGCCCTTATTGTTGGGACAATACACTGATTCTGTAAATTGTTTAAAGAGGGCTGTGAAGCGGTATATAAGTCTTAGTGCTGTTGCTATCTCTGCTGCAGTGGCACAGTGGTTAAAATGCAGTATTGCAGGAAAACTCTGCCCACAGCCAGCAGTTCGATCCTGACTGGCTCAAGGTTGACTCAGCCTTCCATTCTTCCGAGGTCGGTAAAATGAGGACCCAATTGTTGGGGGCCATACGGTGACTTTGTAAACAGCTTAGAGAGGGCTGAAAAGCAGTGTGAAGTGGTATATAAGTCTAAGGGCTGTTGCTAAATTACTAGCTGCTCAGCTGTTTCTCCCCAGTGGACAATCTCAGAATGTGAATATTTTAAACTCCCTCATGGAGAATCTCAGAATGTGAAGGGGGATTTGCACAACAAATAGCAGTGTTGTTTGTCCAGAGCCACTGCAAACAGCAGTGATGTCAAAATAACCACAACATGATGTCACAACACAAATGCTTGCTTATTTTCATACTTGTCTTATGTGGATCAACAACCACTAGGCACAATTCTTATCATTGCGATGCCTTTTAATTAGGCAATTCCAGCTCTTTCGGAGTGACCCAAATACATACATCTAGATATACGACAGTAGTCCCAAGGCATTTTAGGATTGCTGGTGTAACACCAAGGGCCGTGAGCATCGTCATCTGGATTGCGACAGTAATTTTTCTTCACCTTGCTTATATCTAGGTCTTTATATATAGGGAGGTGCCTAGAAGGGGAATGAAAAAACACACACACAGCCCTAAGATCACCACTTTTTCAGAAGCATACACGTTATTGCAGAAATGTATACCGTATAATCCTAACCGTGGGAGAAAGAACTGGGAGGCAGTGTGAAAAGATGAATCAACTTAGAATCTCAACGTAGCTGCAAGTAAACAAAGTCCAACCTCTCCTTGAATTTGATTGGCCTTTATTTACCTCGGGTTCAGACAGTTAGTTGAGAAGATTCCTATGCATAGGCTATTTGGCAACCATCAATTTAATTGGAATAATTAAAATAAAGTTAATGTCCCACCTCCTCTTAATTTTTAACTTTTAAAAAAATATCTACTGCTTTATATTTTAGCATTTTATAATATACCATCCACAGTCGTTCTTTGAGAAATGTGGAAAATTAGACAGACAGACAGACAGACAGACAGATAGATAATGATAGATAGATGGATGGACAGACAGACAGACAGACAGATAGAAGAGAGGGAGGGGGAGAGAGAGATGACAAAACTGCCAATGATAGCTAAATAAATGGTTCTTGTGAAGAAATGTATGTCAGGCATAAAGAATCAGGTCTATTCACAGGGTTGCAGCATAGAAGATTTCTTCAAGCTTATACACAAGAATCTGGTCAACTAAAGTTCAACACTAAATTGGCGCCAGATAAGGGTCAACAGGATCCAAGATTCAAAGTTGGACTTGGAGCACATGTGGAAGCGCCATAACCCTAAACTGCTGACATTCTTCACTCCACCCTCAGCTCTGCCTGCTTCTTCTCTTACAATTTATCTACAATTGGAAGCCTTTTATGGACTTTTGCCAGGAAATAAGAAAAGTCAATTTATAACATATGGAGTTGATGATTGTTAAAATTTAGGTGGGAAAAGATTTTCCCCCTTTTGGGGGGGAAATAGACAGTGTATTGCATGTTAAACTAAGAGCTGAAGGTGTTTCTTATATCCTTGGACGAAGAAGTTGGAAGTAACTCTTTGTATATATTTTTGTTTTCCTTTCTTTATATCTTACTGCCCTTCTATTTCTACCTCTCCTTTTCCTCTTTATCTCTCTTCCTGGTTATTAGTTTATTCTAGTTTTATTTCATACAGTTTTTAAAAAAATTACTAGAATTATTATGAAAACAGAAGTATACGTGTTATCTAATTCACAATGTGGTTATTCAATGAACCTGGTTGGTTTTTGAGACAATGTTAAATAAAAACATGATGCAAAGCTATTTGTAAACCCAAGAACCGCAGAAGCCAGAGAAATGTCAGAGGAAAATTAGGACAGAAGAAATAGAAATCAAGAGTGACAAAACAAGCCACTTGTTGTATAACCATGGACTTTAAAAATATCTATTGAAATGCAGATGTGCACACATTTTGTGCTCTTTGAGATGGAAAGCAATAAATAGCAAAATCCTTCCCCACAAATAGAAACCACTTTAAATTAAACGCTTCTACCAAATAACCCTGCAGAAGAAATTTATGAAGTCACTTCTCACATTTGAGGCCAAGATGTTATGATTGGGGGGAAAATGCATGTGTCTTAGAAGTGAGTGTGTCTTGGTCTGAGTGTGGTGAAAGAATTGTGAGCTGGCTTTCATAAGTGTACTGGAGAAACTCACAAAAGAACATTGTGTATTCAAAAGTGAATTTATGTAAAGGTCAGCCCAGTTGATCATCACATGAAGGAATAGCTTTGTGCCAACCAGATTCAAGAAGATGGTTGCATTTAATTCAGAGAAACCTGGATTCCAACAAAGCTAGTTCTGAAATAAATCTGGACCAATCCCTGTTTCTTAATCCTGGCTTGTCACAGAGGAATGATCAAATAGGATGTAGGAATCTCACCTGCTTTAGCTTCCTTGCAGAAATGCTGAATGTTACTGCAATAAGCAAGCCAGGTGTGATACACAGCCTTGATTTAAAAAGATTCACCTATGAAATCTGACTCAAAAGAGGAAATGCAGCATGGTGGATTCTAAAGTTCTTGCAATGTTTTAATGCTCCTTAT